CTCAGTTGCCTGATTATCTTGTGGATGGGGTGCTAAAGCGCTGTCGTAAAAATCTGAGCAGATTTGTGAGGTCAAAAACGAGTCAGTGCTAGATAACTACTTCAAGCTTACCGATCCAATACTAAATTTGAAAGGCGTTAAAATGAATCACTAATAAGTCTGGCATGATTTTCTTTGATAGGTAAACATAATTTAGAGGTGGTTGTCATAATGCCCAATACCCATTTAGGCGATATTAGAGGAAAACTATATGCACAAGATAAAAAGTATGCTTTTCTAATTACAGGATCATCAATAGTATACATGGTCCAAATTTTATTTAATGTTGTAATGCGCTCATTTTTATAAAATTAATTTACACTGCAGAGAAGGACAAGTTTGTGAAAGTTGGCATTCCAAAATTATTTTTGTCTTCGATACTCTATTGACATGCAAATTTGGTTTACATCGTTCGCATACAAACTAGTATAGCATTTCGAGGAAAGGAAGAATCACATTTTGACCTGCGATCTTTAGATAGCAACGCATACTTGGAAATGCGATAAAGGAAGATACGTCTACCTTATATCATTCACATTACGATGAAATATATTAGTGAAGTAATATTATTACTTTCATATTCAGAATTTTATTGTATAAGAATTTCGAGCAGGCTGTTGTCAAGCAGTAGTGACAACGGTTTTTGCTCGGAAATATAGATAGCAATATTCCGAGTGAAAATAGCCCTGATCCGGCATTGCTGCATCAATAAATATTTGAATGTATATGACTAATGTACGTGTATACAAACAATTTTTTTCATTTTATTGATTCAACAGCAATCAGAACTCTTACTTTACATGTTCTATAAGCTGTTTGTTGAAAACTTTTGACCTAACGTAATTTATAAGAGGTAACCCATTAGTTCTTACGTCTAATATTATTATGATTGAATGATGCAGCTATGTCCACGAAGGACGATTTCCACTTGAAATTATATTGTGATCTATAATCTCAAGTGGAAATTTGACATCAAAGCTGCCTGATGTCAAGTTTTGGCGTTAGCAAGAATCGAACCAGCGAACCCGGGACTAGTTGGTGCTAGCTCATGTTCGAACCGATTTCACCACGCCGGGCCCAAGTCGACAAATAAACAATAAAAAAAATATTTGCCCGGTTACCGATATAATTATAATAATAATTCATCACACAGAGGTAAGACATCTGTTTGGGTTGTCATCTGAGAAACAGACTAGTATTAAGTCAAATCAACACAATAATCTTAAGTTCTTGTTGCTGTTCAAAGTATAATGAAACTAGTGGTGCCTTAATGCAAATTGCAGGAAATGCTCGTACTGTATAAATATTCAGAGAATATTAAATATTCTCAAATATATTATTACAAATACACACACATCCATTTTTACAGACAAAATGTTCAGAAATCTTCAAATAAAACGTGTTGTGTTTCAGTAATCATTATTACTCTTGTACATAGACAAGATTAGAACAGACAAACAAGTATTTGATTTTATAATTTATAATTATAAAATCTAATATAATTTATTTATCAACTAAATAATGTTGATGTTAATTATTTTCTTTATATTTGGTAAATATCCACTAAGGACAGTTGTAAATAAATCGTAAAATAAAAAAAGTTGAATTAAAAATCATAAGGTTTGTCGACATTAAATTAGATTTTTTTTAATCACCTATTTCCTGCATTTTCATGAAAAATCATTCTTAATTCACTTTATTGAAACATTGAAAACAGAATACAATATTTTCTCTTGGTGCTAAATAATTTATTGCATTTAATCTTAACTTTTTTGTTGAACATTTCCTTCAGCTTGTGTTGAGTTCGTTTTAAAACTCCCATTACTTACACAGGTTTGATTTATTTTTATAAGTTTCCCTTGTTCAGGCATAATTTATACTGAATTCCCTCTCTGCAAATAACAATGTCTTTTCGTGTTTTTCTTGTATAATAATATGATAAATAAAATTGTTACGTTATTTTAGTATAACATATTATATAATATTGAAGAGCAGAAAAGTTGCTAATTTGGGCTTAGAAAACTGGAAAAATCATTTCAGTTTGAGTTTGTTTTGTTTGTCTAATAAATAAATAAACAATAATTTTTATGGAGAAAATTACGATTATTAGTTTCAAATCTATTACGTAAAGTACTAGACAACAAAACAAAACTACAAAAAAAATCTGTTTTCTGTTGTGAAAAAATCATTATAATTTTATTGATTGTATGTAACTAACTAAAAATCTAAACTGTCTTTCTAAAAATAAATAATGATAATAATCTAAACTTTCAAATTAGTAAAATTATTGAATAGAATATTAACGCCAAATATACATATATAGAGGTTATATAAATAACATATTGATCAATTATTTGTAAATATTTCGTCCTAACATGTACATATAGTACTCTATGATACGTCCATATCGAAGCCAAAAGGTTTTTTGATAATTACAAGTATTTGAAAATATAAGAATTGCAATATGGGGTACATAACATACCTATACATAATTCATTAATTTTAAACCTAGTATAGAAATTTCAATATTGTTTGAATATTTTAAAATGTATGTGTATTAACTTTCTTATACCGTGGGTATGGGCCACATTGTCAGATAAATTCAGACCTACCCCTACCCCCACATTTGAATGATTTATACGCTACTTTGGAGGACTATCTGATAAAATATATGCACCAATAAAAAACTAAGTATCAATATCAAAAATTAATATCAATATAATAAATTATATATTAGGTTTAGACTGTTCTACATTTCATTGAAAAATATTGCCCAAATTTTTGTTTTGTTATTATATTCACTGCCGAATATTATTAAGTCTAAAGAGCCGATTCAGCCGTATAATAGAACGATGTTATGGCAAAGCTAGTTACGTATTGTTTTTCATATAAAATGGTACTAAAAACCGTCGAAATGCGTATATGTAGTTGTTGTGCAGTCAGGGCTTGATAACCAATAAAATAATCGACTAGTTTCAAGCAATAATTCTGATATTTCTTATGGATACTTTTGAAACTAGTAATAAATCATGATATTTTAGTTCAGGGTAGGGCGGGAGCACAAAGCTTAAATAAATTTAATTTGTTTACTTAATTAAAGTCATAAATTTAATAATTAAATAATGATAATCATTCTTAATATCATAAATTTAATAATTTAATTAATATTAAGTTTTTTTAAGTTAATAATATACATTAAAAACAATTTAAATCAACAAAAATACAATTTAACTTGTTTTAAAAAGTAATGTCGCTAAAATTGAATAACAATTTTATATTCACTGATCATTTTATTTAATATCTTATTTTTAAAATTAGTTATAATATAAAAAAGTATACTATATTTTTGATCTCAAAGTTATATGGAGTTTCAATAACATTTGAATAAAAATTATTCTAGCCTTGGCATCAATATTCAATCGCTTCTGATAAAGAAAAATTAAAATCTATTTTTATATTACATTTTGAAACTAGATTTATTTTATGCATCAACCAACATAATTGTTTACTCCGTTTATAAGTATTTATCTCGAATTTCATATAAAAATAGTACATTGATCAGAATATAAAAGTATGTATTCACAGCAATTGAAGTTATTGTTTGTTGCGTAGTAGTTTATTCGCTGCAAACTAGCACGTGTTATAAATTAATAAAATGTTTATAGTCTTTCATTAGACAAAAAGTGATATGTCAAAAAATAAAAAAGATATGAAATTTAAAAAGCATAAAATGAGTTTTAGTTTAACTAAATATGAATTCGTAATATATTTTTCTTTAAAAATTTTTTAGATGTTGTAACCTAACGAGTCAAATCATATAGATATCAATGTGTTTCCAAGTGAAAATAGCCCTAATACGGCATTGCTGCACTAATAAAAAGTCATCGCAATTGTAATAATAAAAATTCAGCACATAGAGATGAGACAACTGTTTGGGTTGCCATCTATAATAAAAACAAACTTAGTTTGTAAGACCCATAAGTTCTCACTCATAGAACCCATAAGTTCTGATCGCTGTTCAAATAAATTTAAAAAAAAAGAAAAAAAATAGTCAAATCATTTAAATTTTTCAATAATATATCAATTTAAAAAAAAGTTTTATTTTAAATATGAATACGAAATATATTTTTCTCTAAAAATAAATCTATAATACATTGTAGACTATCACAACAATTTTTTATATTTATCAATGTGATAAATCATATTGTATATAAATATCCTCTGTACGCAGTCTTCGGATAATAAGCGTTCAATAATAAACAGTTCACAAGCGATTCGAAATCAATTATCGCTGCGTGCTTTTGGCGATTTGATCTTTGAGCACTAATATACTAGTCCGCTGCTCCGGAGGGAGCATGCCAATTTGTTCGTCTGACAGTTGCAAAACTTGCATGATTAACTCGGCTTTCTCCTGATCGGAGGCGCCGGGCCCCACACCGGCGGCCATGAGGTTAGGGAGCGACAGGCCTCCTAAGCCTCCAAGGCCTGCAGCCACTGCCGCAGCCTGTCCTGCCGCACTCGTTCCCCCTGCCTGTTGACTGGCGGAGGAGACGCCCGACGGCTGCGTGGGTGACAGAGCGCCGAGGGGCGGCCGAGTGCTGCGCGGGTCTATAATCCGCGGGGGATCCACCCCACGGACAGGGGGAGGCATTGCACGATTTGGAGGTGGAATGTTCGTCGGCATACCGGGTCTTTGTGATGAAAATGTATTTATCGGCGAACTGCCGGCGCCGATGATCTGTTGCGGAGGCCTATTCATTGCAAAGTTACCGCTACCGCCATCGAAACCTCCCGGCTCATTCTCGGATCAAAACCTGCTCCGCGACGGTTGTCGAGGTTCCTGAAGTCCACATCTTGCACAGTTTGTTGCATATACATAGGATTCGACATAAGCGGCGGCAATGAGTGTTCTTGTTGTTCGGGAATATCGGATCTCTGCAGTACCTTAGGCGTGGCATTGGGATCATATAAGAACTTGACTGCATCCTTCGGGTCGATTAACTTCATTACGACTTGCGCTTGCAGTATAGCATATGAAATTTGCGGGTTTTTCAAGAGCATGTTTCGAGTCTCTTCGGGATTTTGTTGATGGCACTCAGTGAGCTGCTTCATTATCAAAAGTAATCTTTCCGGAGGAAGACTAGCTACAATTTTGCTGATTACTTCCGGCGCTTTGTCAGATGGGACAGGGTCTCCGTAGGGATTTTCTACCTGTGGTCCTTGTAACAGCTGCTGCATTTCCATTCGAGATTTCTCCGTACAAGCATTATCGACTCGTAAAGTTCTACCTCCGATTTCATAGCCGTTCAAATTTCTCATCGCACTCAAGGCAGTTTCTTGATCTTTATATTCACAAAATCCATATCCTTTTGGTTTTCCACTTTCACGATCAAAAACTAATTTTAACGATATGACAGGACCCACTTCACTAAAAACATCTTTCAATTTTTCCTCGGTTGCTTCATACGGAATATTTCCCACAAACACCGATCTCATCGATTTGTCCATAATATTCAAATCTGTATTTTTATCCATTTTGATTTATTTATCAAGACTAATAAACCTGAATAAGTTATACTGCGCAATAGCAAAAACTAACCTTAAAAACGAAATAATAGATCTCGTCGTGTTTATACAAATTTGCACTTGTAATTAATCAACTCGTATATCACTTAAAACTGAACACATTATTGACGAAAAAAATCATCACTTCAAATGCAATATTAACCAAAATAATTCAATTATTAACCGAGCAAAGCAACAAGCATTACGTAGCAAAACTAATCTCTCGCAACTGGATCGTTCGGCACTCGCCGATGCCACATGTGCTGTAGCGCGTTCGGCTGCGTCCGCTTCGTGTTCGATTCGGTTCGGCTCCCCTCTAGAAAACCCTATACAAATATTGTGCATTGCAACGTTGCCAAGTCAAACCCTCTCCGACATGTGTTGATTTAATGTCATGGTAACACACAGTGCTGCCAAGTGTACTTTGTACAAAAATGTGAATGAATGCTAACCGGTAAAAGTCAAATTTATTTTTACACATACTATGTTACAAAATAGTTAGAATGTAGGAAATTAATTAATTAATTATAACAAAATTAGCGCAAAACCGTATTTTTATGATAAAAGAAATAATTAAGAAAATATATTTTTATTGATAATATTATATTATTGATAATAATAATGAACACTTATAATTTCTTGTATGTTGCCAGGTTTAGATAATGAAATAAAATAATTGACTAGATTGAAACAATAATTCTGATATATTATTGATATTATATTATTGATAATAATAATATGCACTTATTATTTCTAATAAGTTGACAACTTTAAATAATTAAATAAAATAATTGACTAGTTTGAAGTAATAATTTTGATATTTATTTACGAATACTTTCGAAACTACTAAACTAGTAAAGAATCATATTACTATTTTAATTTATATTGATTATTATTGTCTTAATCATTTGAAAAAAGATACTTTTATTGATAATGTTATATTATTGATAATAATTAAAGTTATTATTTCTAGCAGGTTGACAGGTAATGATTTAAAAAAAATGACAAGTTTGAAGGCTTTGAAGGAATAATTCAGATATTTACTTATGTATATCTTTGAAACTAATAATAATAATATTAATTGTGATGATTATAGAATATTAAAAAAAAACTAATAAAAGAAAAAAATACATATAATTTTCCTTTTTAGGAAAAGGTATTCAATCCATTAGTATAAAAGTAAAAGAAAAAATATAAAAAAATCCTTTTTAAGAAAAGATACAAAATCCAATCCTTTTTAATATTCATCATCATTAATATTGTTATTTTTTTTAATAATTGTTTTTGACAGAAAAGGAGGAATTGTTTTTGATTATGAAACGTATCTAGTTCCGAAACTTCGTAATTAACAATCTACCAAAGAAACTAATATTTTTATATTTATTATCAATATATCAATTTATTGAAAAATTGCGATATATAGATTAAACTAGCTGTAAGTGGAATTCTGTCTTGAGGCAATTATGGCATCGTGCCTTAAGGCAAATTGCTGGAACTTCCCGTACCGTAACGAAATGTTCGTGGAATACTGAATGTTTTCAAATAGATTATTATAAATATTGTAACATTGTCTAATATTTATAAGAATTATTGCAGAGTTGAAATTATTTGTATAGTATGTTAGAACTATAGTCAGAATTAAAAATAAAATCTGAAATATTTTCGATATACAAAAAACTAAAAAAAAAAAAAATTGGAACAAATTTTTTTTTCCAAAATCAATTATTTTGTTAAGACAAGCAGAAAGTTCTCTGAATCATTTAAATCGGACGCTTAGTTCTCTCAAAAATTGCCATTTTTTACATATTTAGCTCCGTATCTTCAAAATGGCTGGGCCTGCCTTTGCCAAAAACTAATAAACACTTCTCCCAATCATTACTAATTGAATGTTTTTTAGATCATTCAAATCGGATACTCCGTTCTCTCAAAAATTCGATTTCTATTTTCTGCACTCTTTGCTCCGTATCTCCGAAACGGCTGGACCTGCCTTTGCCAAAAACTAATCAGCTCTTTTCCCTATCAATAGGAATCGAATGTTTTTTTGAACCATTCAAATCGGTTGATCCGTACGCCCGAAAACGTGGGCGAAAATTTGTATCCATACATACATACACACACACACACATACACACACACACATACACACACACACACACACATCCATTTTTTCTGAGTTATGCCAAAACGTTCAGAAACCTTCAAAACGTCGAGAAATGTAAAAATTTTCAATTCCGATTTTCGGCCCATTACAATAACTTACCCTACGGGAAGTTAATATTACTATTTTAATTTATAATGTATATTGATTATTATTAGTATTAGTATGTCATATTAGGATTTTAATTTGTAGTTTATATTAATAATTATTCGTTTTAGAACTTAAATAATTTATTTAAGTGTTTACAAAGTCTGTATTTAGTAAACTGCATTAATGCAGATATTTTTTGTTTTACAGAAAACACAATCATGATGAATTTGAACAAGAAGCTACTTTGTTGAGGTAAGTTAAATGAAGTTCTAATTGCCTTAATAAATAACCATTTTTTCCAAATTTTCCAAATGAATAATAAACACCAAATGTAGTCGATTTTCAAACTTTAGCTTGCTTTGCTTTGTTTTTTACATATTGTACAAATTTATGTTAAATTATGTTAGATATATCCACTTTGCAGCATTTTTATTTATCAGAGTTTTACAAGAGCATTTATGTAAACCTCCTTTGTTGCAAAATGTGACACACTAGTGTGACGTTGATAATTTTTAGTGTGATTTTGAAATTTTGCATGAACCATTTATCAATTATCTTTGTGTTTAAATATTTAAACTGAATTGTCATTTATGGCACTCTTTGCCCCGTATTTTCGAAAAATAGAAAATGAAGATTTTTATACAACTTAAAGTTTCAAAGCATTCTCGGTATGCCTTAGAAAAATTGATGAATGTGTGGCGCGTCTCGGTGAGAATGTGTTTTTTGTGTGTGCACGGATACAATTTTTAGTCGAGATTTTTGAGAGCACGGACTAATCGATTTGAATGATTAAAAAAACATTCGACTCCTATTGATGAGAAAACATGTTGATGCAATTTTGGCAAAGGCAAGTCCTGCAAAAAATCTCAAAAAAACTATTATTTAAAATTCAAAAATGTTCCAAAAATTTCAAAATTCTTAAAGCATCTAATTTTATCAAAATTGAAAAAAAAAATTAAAATCCAGCAATTTGCCTCAAGGCACGATGCCATGCACCTCTAGTCATTTACTGATATATAAGAAAGCACATTATTGTGCTACGATGATATTTAAAACTTTAGACTTTCGTTTATGGTACGAACTCAGTTTACTTCTAGTCAGTGCTAAATTGAAATGCTAGTCTTTTATTAACAGGAGACAAAAAAATCGATTAATTACAATCAGCGTTATGTTGATTTTTTCTGTAATTTATTTTAACTGCAAAACATTCAATGAAAACAATATTTCATTTAATAAATTTCTCTATAGGCTACCTTTACCTTCAGGAGAGGGCGACAAACTATGTTCTGGTTTGATCGTTCGAGTGATATTAGACCTGTCTGGTGGTAGACGAGGTAAGAAATTCAAGGAGTCCAATACGGTGAACAAAATAAATAAGAATCGATTGTAGACGTAGGAAATGAGTCAATATCCTTCAGAATCCTTAAAGATGCGGAGTATCATACCACATACCGATCGTGCCTCGCTCAGTACAAGTAAATAATTATTGATTTCTCGTTTCGAAGCCTTGTGAGGCTTCTACTTAATACTTCGAAATAAAGAAAAAAACATACTCTAGTGCAAATTGAAATCGATCGCCAGCCTTCGAAAAGTCGCTCATAATATCACATAATGCTAGAAAAATATTTATAAATTATAGTAAGCTATTATAGTAAGGATTTTGGAGCAATACACAAACTATTTCAAAATGTGCGAAATTGTATGTTTACCGAATCTGCATATGATATACATATTTTATAATCTAAATATTTTGAAATACATAGTTATATTCGATGCGGCCGATTCTGCCGCACAACAAACCAACGTTATGGCAATGTTACGCACCAACTTCCATACATTATGCTACTGAATTACACTGAATACTGTCAAAATGTCATGTATTTGCTGTGTATTCAAGCGTTTTACACATAAACTACAATGTCACTTGTATGTTATGAAGCTGGGTCAGAAAGACCCTCTTATCTAAGATCGTATTTTTGACATTTGTGCGGTTTCTGGGTTAGGTTTTCTATCCGACAACCTGAGAAAAACGCCCGACTCCACATAAACCACATGGCTTTAGTCAATATTTATTACGGAAAGCTCTTCATAACATAATCTTGCCATAACATTGGTCTGTTGTGCGGCAGAATCGGTCCATCACTATCATAACCCAATCTAGTTAATATAATCACAAGAGTTCATCTTACCATAGTTAAAAAATTCATTCAATCTTGTGTCTATCGTTGAATTTTTGATGTGAATTTGTGCTTATATATCATATGATAATAAACTAGCATCATATATTGCAGGTTTATACTTTTATTTAAATCCATTATACGGTAAGTGAATAGCAAAAGCTTTTCTAATATTGCGTTATTCTTATATTAAAGTTCAATAGTACTCTTTATTTAAAAAATTGCGAACCCGCGTATAAAAATAGATGAATGGATGGCTTGTATTGCAAAATGTCTTTGCTTTTTTTACAATTAGTTAATCATTAAAATTTTATACTATCAAAAAATCACCAATTGTCCTCATAAATTGAAACAAATTTTAACCGTTTCCACTCGGATGCCGAGAATATGCTTTCTATGTTTTATCAGTGGCATTATGTATATCTATATTTTTCATAAAATTCTCACAATCATTTAAAATATAAAAATAGAATCTGATTTTGGATTAAGAAAGTAATTTAAAAGCATTTAAAATAAATATAATGTTACGACCCTTATGGGCGAATGCATTATCATGCTGATCAGACATCACAATCAAGGGTCCCTATGCTAAACTTTCTTGGGGAATAAATTTGCATTTACGAACATTAACATCATAAATGCTTTACATACTTGGAAGTAAGAGTAACATAGAATCTAAGTGATAAACGATATAAGTATTAGAACATATGTTTGGATGCATTTTTCGTCTCTAAAACTGGCACTTAAAGCCATAGATAAATAAGTATAAAAGCTTAGAGCTACGCGAATAAATTAATTAAAACCTACCTATTAATTAAAATAACCTTAATTAAAAA